GATATACACATAATGCACACACTAAATTAAGCTGAAAAATCGAATCATCCTTGATAATGGATAAAGGTATGGCCGAAAGCGCTCGGAACTATAAAACATTTCGACAGTTTTTACACACCCTTTGTCCAGAAAAGAAAGCTCTTCTTCGAAAATAGAAAAATTAAATAAAAAGCTTAGCCGTAGTACCTTGTCTGTCGTTTTTAATGAAAATATATATATATATATATATATATATATATATATATATATATTCAGTTGTGGGGATATTTAGTGACCTCCGGTTTTGCGATCATCAGACATTATCTGATAATTGAAAAAGCGTGAAACCCAGGGGAAAAGCCCTTATTCATACAACTGAATATGTTAGCTCTATAACTGATATTATGCGCTTTCCACTAAGTAATACGCATAAAAATACTATATATATATATATATATATATATATATATATATATATATATATATATATATATATATATTTGAAGATAATGTTAACACAATGTTGTGTTGTGTGATATTCAGAATCGGACTTTGTTTATGTTGGACGCCCCGATCTTTATAGTTCTTTTAAATGTTTTACAAAGTTGAAGCGTGTGCGTGGGAACTGTTCGAGATAATTTAATTAATCTTCTTTACTAATTTGTTATCATTCTTGAATACTATGATTTTGACATTTTTCGACCATACATGGAAAAATAAACAAACGAAACGTCCAAAAAAACAAAAAAAAAAAAACAAACAAAAAACAAAGACCCATTGCCAGCGTGAAACAGGCTGCAAACAAATAATCAAATAGAGCACTCTCATATATATATAAGAAAAAGAATATATTATTCACACACATGAATATTGTGATTTATATAAATTTCTACTTTTTCAAAACCGTACACACACACACACACACACACACACACACACACACATATATATATATATATATATATATATATATATATATATATATATATATATATATATATATATATATATATATATATATATATATATATATATATATATATATATATATGTCCGCTATGTCGATATTTTTATTTTAGCGAAGAAAAAAAAAAAAACACATTTGAAAAAGTTTGTAATTAACTTTCCTACGAAGTAAGTCAAAAATAAACTACAATTCTACATTCTCGTAGAACACAGTAATAACACGTTCACTACCTCGTTATATTAAAAAAAAACACTAACAGAAACTTTTGCTATCTTAACTTTAAGAGTGAATACCCATTCAGATATAAAATTGCAGTTATTAAAAACTTCCTAAAGCGTGCACACGAGAATTCATCCTCTTGTCTACTTTTCTTAAAGAACTCGACAATGTAAAATTAACACAAGTTAATGGTTTTCCTAACTCATCGACCACAGACTAGACTATTTCTTTCCAAAGTAAATAATAACGATACTAAATACACAGACAAAAACAATAACAAAAATATTTATAAAAGCCAAACGCACGTCAATCTTAACTTAGAAATATCATAATGAAATACACTACCACAGTTGATCCACCCCCACCAAAAAAAAATTATCCATTGTAAAAATTTAAAACAGCTACCATTATCCTCAAAAACAAGAACACACCTGCAAAATCAAAACTACATAGAACGAACATTATATACGAGTTCAAATGCCCCTTAAGGAACAGTGTTCCTGATCCAACGAAACTCATAAATAATTACATTGGTCACACTACTACATGCCTATCCAGACGACTTACGGTACACCTATCTTACCACAGCTCCATTTCAACTCATTTCAACATGCACACAAACCTACCAGACACCATTCGAAACATATTAGTAAAAAATACAAACATAATAACGCCAACTACGTGAAAAAAAGATTCAAAATAATCGAAGCCTTAATTATAAGAGAGAAAAAGCTAATAGTCAATAATATTAATTGCGAACTATGCGACAATGTGATGTGCTCAGAAGATAAAACATCACTATAACTCTAGATGAATACACAACCCATACATCCAATTAAAACGTAAGAATAAAATCATCCTTAATAATGACTAAAAGAATAGCCGAAAGCGCTCGGAATTACAAAACATTTGAAGTGTTCCTACATACTCTGTGTCTAGAAAAGAAAACACTTAGTCAAACAAGAAAAATTAAATAAAATGTTTAATCGAAGTAACTTATCTGACATTTTTAATGAAACATTTATTAAAGAGGGATTGGTGCCTAAATACACACACACACACACACACACACACACACACACACACATATATATATATATATATATATATATATATATATATATATATATACACAACACATACACACACACACACACACACGCACACATATATATATATATATATATATATATATATATATATATATATATATATATGTGTGTGTGTGTGTGTGTGTGTGTGTGGACTTTTTCAAATATCTTCTTTCCTAAAAGAAATACTCGTTTCCTAAGCCAACATGCATGACCATAAAAATTATTGAAAATTAAAATAAAACCGTAAAATTCTAAATTTTCTATTATTTCAAATAAATACATAATTTATTTTTTCAAACTAAAGTAAAATATATAATAATCCCATAAAAAGTTCAACAACAACAACATTTTGTTTATTAGACATTCAATTACAACGTTCTTAAATTTTTAATTATTCAAAACTGAATACATTTATATTTCTAATAAATACTTATTGAAGAATATCCTTACTTTTGCCTTAATAAATTCCATGAGGGGACGAAACTCTGGGTCCCCAAAAGTTTTCCTTTCATCGTTATATATATATATATATATATATATAAATTACTTAACTTAAAAATTGAAAAAATTGAAATACCGTTTAAAACCACAACCCCTGAAGTCTCAAAATTTTATCAAGAAACATCGATGTCGGGATAAACTCTATATTTAAATGTTAAACAAGTTTATTAAATCACACACACACACACACACACACACACGCAAGTATCTATATATATATATATATATATATATATATATATATATATATATATATATATATATATATATATATATATACACACACACACACAAACTTTATTGTATTTGTGTAGATGCTCCGCTCATTTATTTTGGTCTGCCGTCCTGAATATTCTAGAAATCTTATTATGGTAAAATAAGCACTCTCAGACTGTATTTAAACCTGAGTAGGGGACACCATCATTAGATCCGTTATGCTTGAGACCATCTCGACTACGAAGTGCGACGATGATCGGAAGAAGTTGAACAGTGGCTTATAAACGCAAATCTTTCTCATACTGTCGAAGTATATTACATATCTGCTCAGTTTCCTTGAATCTAACGTAACGTCACCACATATATGATCAAACGTCACTTTCAGATACAGACGCGCAAATAAACTCCTTCTACGCTAGCTACAACACCGTAGCCATAACGACTAAATATGTTCTCATAACTAATTATAATATTTTTGAACGTGCTAATATTTTAATCTACAGGTAGATATTGGTCGAAGTTCTACTTGCGTCTATAAATAAACATCGGTCAAGTTTATGCATGAGTCCGTTGGTAAACATTCTTCCGGTTTATTCTTGTGTCTGCCTTGCTCCTCCGCAGGAGAAAGCATATTTTAGGCCCCAGTGACGGGTAATATTTAGAGGAGAAACTGCCTGTGGATCAATGTTTAGCAAACTAGTCTCTCAAAATCGTTACTACTTGTAATGACAAAAGTATGCTGGTGCAGGCTTTAAGTTTTATTCAAATGCGAATAAAAAGTTCACATATAGTGTCCATTTATAGTCCCAGTAAATAGCTCTTTCAAAGAGGAGAGTGACAAAGCGAAGGGAGACCACTCTTGGTTATTCCTAATACTACTATCATGAGTTCGTTTCACATTGCGGGACTTTTCGTTTAATACCTCAACCCGTCTTTGTAAATAACTGTACCGCATGAAACATTAGCGTATGTATTTGTTCATAAGTGTATGCGTGTTGATCCTTGCTAACTTGACGTCCCATTTCTCTTCGTGTAAGTCTTTCTTTTCCCACGTGTACTTTATACCTACCGCGAGATTGCATCTATCCCTCCCGGCACTATGCTTCAGCTGAATCTCGTCACCGCCGCCAGCAAGCATAGTGAAAAGCATATGGAGACTGGGGCGTATAAATAGAAAATTCTAAGCGATTTGTGTATTCAATATGCAACAAATATGATGACGCCTCTGAAAGACTTCTGCGCGAATTGTGCATCCATAAATATCGTCCCATAATTCTCAGTTTTCACCTCTTCCGGTGCTTTTTGTGCGTTCTGAATCTGCAAGCTTCCAATATTTCTTTGTCTTTTTTTTTCTTTCTTTCTTTCTGCCTCAGTGATTTAGGTAATTCGTTATCTTCCATTTTGTTGACGTCATTTTTATTTCTGATCATATTTTCCCTCCTTTTTTTTTATTCCGTCTCATTCTGCTATTCTTTTTCCTTTCTGATCTTTATATTTTTATGACTTTACTTTTCTTTCTGCATTCATTCCTAATATTCCTGATTGTATATTTTCTTTTATTTTGCGATTATATTCTTACATATTTCTTTTCATTTTCATTTATCGATTACAATTTTTTCTTCATTTTTCTTATTTTATAAGATGAAGCGCTTTCTTTCTGGTTTTGAAAACTCTTTCTTTACACATTTTTCATTTCTGACATTCATTTACTCTGGAAGATTTTTTTTCTCTCTCAGAAAGAGATATTCTTTTTTTCTTGCTTTTGGCTTTTATTCTTTCTTTGTCACTTTCTTCCTTTGTTTCTTTTTTTCTTTCTTTCTTTCCTTCTTTCTAACTAGGATAATTGTTCTTCGCTTTCTTCATTTCTTTCTTTCAAATGAGTTAATGGTTGTCCTTATTTCTTTCTTTCTTTCAATTACATTAATGGCTGTCTTTTTTCTTTCTCTTTCTTAATTTCTTTGTATCTTTCGGGCTTTCGTTAGGTTAATAGTGGTTTTTCTTTTTCTCCTTTTGCAACTAAGTTC